ATATGGCTCTGTCCTTTCTTAGGGGGTTTGGCAAGAGGATGGTTTTTCCCAGGTGTTCATCATGCGAGCGGGCCACACCCCAAATCGCTCACCCCATCATTGTAGGAGAAGCGCCTCCCCCGCCTCCGCCCCGAGACCTTGCTGACTTTGTGCTAACAAAAGCAAATTAAATCGCGCCCCTTCCTTTGGTGCACGGGGCCCTGGCATTGTGTCCCCCTTCCTGTCACACTTGTCGTGCACAGGTGCGTGCACCTGCACACACGGACCTCAGCTTAAACATCACCTCCCCAGATCTGTATTGGCTCCCCTCTATGTATTAGGCCCCACAAGTGTATTTAGCAGAGCACCTGCCTGATTCTTTCCTAGCATCATCCCAATTTAAAATTTTAACCCTGACTCCTGCACTGGCGTGAGCTCGCTGAGAACAGAGGCTGTGCTGCCCTCGCTCTCTCTCTGGCCACAGGACGGGCTGGGCCAGCACTGTCAAGCCTGTGGGTGGCATTGTGGCTCCTCCAGGCACAGGGAAGCCCTCCATCCCGTCAGTGGCGGGGTGCACTGTTTCCATTAGTGGGGCTGGATTTGGGTGAGTCAGGGTGCCTCCCCATCCCCTTGTGGCCCTGCATAGATTCCCCAAAGGCCGCGTGATCTGGGAGCAGTGTGGTGTCCCTAGGTAGAAGGCTGCCAGTTAAATGGGGTGCCTCTGTCATTGGGCATCAGGCGAGAAGGGCCCCTTCTCACAGAACTGTGTCCTGCTTGTTGGAAAATGAAATCGAGACTGTGACACAGTTCTCTGGGCCTGAATGTGAATGACAGCTGCTCCCTGACTCACAGGCAACTTGGGCTTTTAGGGAGATTTCTAGGGGGAAATCCCTTCTGAGTCCTCAAGCGCTTTCTTACCAGGAGGGGAGGGCGTGCCCCATGATGACCTCCGCCCAGGCCCCCATGTAGCCTTTCTGGGTGCCTCAGTGCTGCCGATGACCACATGGGAGGGAAGCTGGGCTTCCAAGGTCAATTGGGACTGCTCAGAGCTGGGCAGAGAGCGTCATGTCGCCCAGGACCTACACCGACTGTCCAGGTATGAAGTCTTGGGGCACTCGAAGATGTCAACTACTATGATCTCAATGATTTTCCTAGTGATTACACATTGGGCTGGTAGTGTTTTAGGTAAGTTGAGTTGAATAAAATATATTGACAGATATTTCAATAATCACTGTTTTAGAGTTCAGGGGAGTTTTATAAATATGAATTCCATTTCTCAGCCCTGGGGACTTTCATTTAAAGATGAGATCACCAAACTGGTCCTGAGGGTGTCTGCATTCCCTGGGGTCACCCATTCACAAAGCATTTTCTGGCATTTCAATTCTGCCTGGAATGCCTATAAGGCATACACTTTATCCATCAAGGAAAATAAATAATAGGCAAGTTTTGTTCAGGAGAGATGACACTGGTAAGACTTTGGTGTGTTCCTTAACAGGGGTACCCTGAAAACCTACGTGCATCAAACCCTCAGGCCAACAGGCCAGTTGTGGAAGCTACAGTTTCTGCTGATGTATAGGAGGTGTTATCTGGCCTCTAGCCCCCACTAATTCTGCCTCACTTGCAGTTTCTTCAATTTTAAATAAGTGTGGTTTTTAAAACTGGGGAGGCCTGAGGATGTGGGAAGGCAGAAGTGATATTTTTCAGTGTCTCTGTTTCCTGAGAGAAAAGTCATGTTGCGCCTTCAAAACAACAGCTGTCAGAATGATTTCCATCAGATTAAATAAATCCTCGGAGCCGTGATCACAGTTTCTAGAATCTTGGAAATGTAGGTTATGCTTTGCATGGAACCCTAACGGAATTGAAAATACGCATTTTTGCAAACACGGTTTTGCAAGCAGACGCTTTACCAGAGTTTCTCATTTGTGGATTTTGGTTTAAGCTACCATAGCTCAAGGAGTTGAGGAAGAGTCTTTTCCTGTATAGATATAGTAAACAAACGCTTTCCAATTTGAGATGCTATTAATTGTAGGTGAAACAGGCAGTGAAGCGCAGGGCCAAGCTGGAGGGAACGCGCAGTGCGGCGCGTGCTGTGTCAGGTGAGGCCGTAGTACAGGCGGCGCGTGCTGTGTCAGGTGAGGCCGTGGTACAGGCAGCGCTGGCGAGCGTTACACAGAGACGGCCGCCCTGCGTCCTCACCATTGCATACAGCCGTTCCAGTTTCAGAAAAGAGAAGAAGACGTTTTTAGGGGCGGGGGGAGTTCGTGTCACAAAGATCTTGAATGAATGAATGCTCAGTACAGATTAATATTCATTATTTCTTGATACAGAAAAGCTTATTCTTAAAGTTATCTGCTAAATCTAAACCACAGTGAGATACCACTCACGCATTAGGATGAATACTATCAAAAAAACAGACAATAACAAGTGTGGGTGAGGTATGAGACGCCGGAACCGTGTGCATTGCTGGTGGAAATGTGAAATGTTGGGACTGCCGTGGACATCAAGACGATGGCTCCTCAGGTTAAACACAGGATTAACACATGGCCCAGCAACTCTTTTTCTGAGTGTCCGCAAGGAAGAATTGAAAGTAGGGTCTCAGATACTGGTACACCCATGGCCATAGCATCATTAATCCCAATAGTCCAAAGGGAGAAACAACGTAAGAGTCCATCACAGATGAATGGATAAACAAAATGTGGTCTATCCACACAATGAAATACCACTCAGCCTTTGAGAAGCAAGGAAGTTCTGTCATGCTACAACATGGATGAACCTTGACGATGTAATATTCAGTGAAATAGCCAGTCACAAAAAGAGAAAGACTGTATGATTCCACTTACATGGGGCACTAGACTAGTTGAATTCTCAGGACAGAAAGTAGAACAGCAGTTACCCGGGTTTATGGGAAGGGGGACTGGGGAGTTACTGCTTCCTAGGTAGAGTTTCTGTTGATGAAAGTTCTGGAAGTGGATCGTGGTGATGGTTGTATAATAATGTGAATGTACTTAATGGCACTGAATTGTACAATTAAAAATGGATTACAGGTAAATTTTTTAAATGTTAATTAGTTGCTGAGCTAGCTGGGGTTTGCAGCACACTTGGCAGGGAGGGGAGAGCTTGCGCTCTGAGGAAGGTGGTGTAGCAGAGCAACACAGGCTGGAGTCTGCCCTCCAGCGTGGAGGAGACTCTGCAAGTCCAGCACAATTCTTCGATGTTGTTTAAAAAACAACACAGAAATGGTGCACTCTGCAGCAAGAACCATTTCTCCAACCTACTGGATCCGCAGGACTATTGCCTTCCTTCTGAGTCCAACAGGCTCTTCTCTGCTGTCCTTCGATGAGTGGAATCCAAAATGCCCTCAAAACTCAGCAGCTTAAGTGCTAATGAGTCAGAGTGGGTGCCTCTGTAAGATAGGGGTTAGCTAGGAGAATCACCGTGTGGCCCTGAGGTCTGCCCTCAGTCTCTGATTCCCCTTAGGGACTGAGCTGGGACTGGTGGTGGGTGGGGGGTCTCCTTTAGCCCCAGAGTCCAAAGTGTTCTAGCCATTCAGCATCAAGCTGTGACTGTCTCCTTGAGAGGCTCCCTTGAGGGGAGATGCTAAAGTGGGTGCCAGGAAGGTAAGTGCTATACCTGCCACTGGGCATCAGAGGGCAGAAATGAGGCTGCAGCATCTGCCTGCATTTTCTGATGTCCGGGCTGCAGCAGGGTCAGAGACCTCTGATCATAACCATCCACACACGCATTTCCTCGGGCATGCTCAGTCAAGACCTAGAGCCCACCCTGGTCGTGTTTAACATGGGAGATGCCCAGGGCCAGAGTGGGAAGGGTCACCTCTGAGGCTCCCTGAGGCCAGGGAGGCCACCGGTGGAAGTGCAGGGCCCCATGGCAGGGCGCCGCGGCTGGAGACCCTTTCTCCGCGCACACGCACACAGGGTGAGCAGGTGCTGGGACAGGCACTGCGGTGGGCACTGCAGGCTGCTGTTCTGTCTGCAACAGGGCCAACCCTCTCCCAGGGGCCAGACACTCCACCTTCTCAGAGCGCAGCCTGCTAATTCAGGTACAATTCTTTATAGTTCAGTTCTGTGCATCAGGGTCATACACATCGTAACAGAGAGAAGTGACTTTAATTTTTTTCTGCTTGTCTGCTTTTCAACAATACATCAAACGTATATATGTAGAGAAACAGGATATGTGGCTCTTGCTGCGGGGGGAGGGTGTGTCTCTGTTTCTGCCTTCAGAGGCTTGATGTAGGTTACAAAACCAACATAAACTGGCAATGATGGAAGTAGTCACGGGCTTGCCGCGCCTACAGATGGCCCGGCTTTACTGGAAGGTGATGCTGCATAATTATCAGAACAGAACCATCTCTATTTCAGGCTCCTCCTAGATTCTAACATGTTTGGGTTTGTCTGATTCTCAACTATGAACATGTATGACTTTGGCCCCTATGTCCATCCCTCAGTTTTGGTGACAGTGGCGAGCTCAGTAGGATAGAAGATGTTGACATTGACAGTAGCTTCGGAAGGACCTGCTTGGGGTCTCCTAGGGGCCTGGAGTGCATTGGCTCTGGGTCTTGCCCCTTAGCAGCTGCTGGAAGCCACGGGCCCCACGAGGACTGTGGAAGGGGACCCTCAGCCCACAGAACAGGGAGCTTCCTAGAGTCTCCAGTTCATCCAGTGTGACCCTGACTTGCTGCTTCAGGGACGCCTATGTCTGTAATCTGAAACCAAAACCGCTGGGCTTGCCCGTAGTTACAGATTGAGGACTGAGGACAAACCAAAGAACAAGTGGAAAGTGCTTTCCAGCCACTCCCCTGCCTGGCCTCCCTCAGGGGGACGCCACAGGTGTCCTGGGCCCAGCGGCCAGGTGGTGGTTGTGGTGAAATAACCTTCCCACTTCTCTTCCCTCCTCAGCCATGCTTATTCCCTCCCCTCAAACTGACCTCATCCACCTGTTGTCACTGCCACAGCCCCCTTTTGTGAGTTTTCTGCTAAGTTGTCTTTTCCCTTCTTGTCTTACAGCCCGCCCAAACCCACCGTGTACATCTCCGGTGTCATCGCCCGGGTAAGCACCTTCATCACATGGGCCTCGGCGTGAGGTCTTTCGGTTCCTTGTCTTTGCTAACCCCATTCTTCCATGGGGCCAGTGGTGTTCTGTGGTCTCCTGTCCACAAGCGCATACCTGTCCACGAGCGCATAGTGTGTAACTAGGGACAATGACGGCATGGAGCACACAGCAGGGGTGGGAGCAGCTGCTTCTCCTCCTCCTCACCTGTCTCCTGTCTTTTTGGACTTGGCCGGGGACCACAGCTACCCACCGGCCAAGTGCTTCTGGGAGACTGAGCTGAGAATGCTTTTACATTTTTAAATAGTGGAAAAAATCAAAGTAAGAAGTCTATATTCATGACATGTGAAAATTATATGCAATTCAGATTTCAGCGTGAAGTTTTCGTGGCACACAGCCACGCCCATCATGTATGCATCGTCTGCAGCTGCTTTCATGCCTCAGTGGCCGACCAAATAGTTGAGGCAGAGAGTATGACCCGCAAAGCCTAAAATATTTACTACCTGACATATTATAGAAAGTGCTTGCCAACCCCTGGTCTAAACACATGGGCTTTAGTGATACCCTTTACAAAGAGCGCCCTCTTGTGGCGAACCCAGTGTTCTGTAACTCCAGCCCTCCCACCAGCTAACTCCCATTGTGAGGAGGACACGCTAACTACCACCACCCAGTTCTGTGGCTCACAGAACAGCTGAGCACTTAGCATATGATGTGTGAAGAAAAGGTCGTTGCTGGGACAGCTCACCACAGCCGTGCTGAGACGCTGGGACAGATGAGTGGCACGGCTACTACATGGGAGAAAATTAGATGCAGACACAAGTGTGAGGTCAACCCTGGACCGCTGGTTAGCCGGAGCAGCCCTGGCGGCAGCCTCACCGGCCCTGTGGCGCCCAGTGATTCCTGCCTGGAGACGGGTACCCTCTCCAAGGCTCGGCAGGTGAAGAAGGTGCTGCCTCACACCCTACAGCCCTGCCCTTGGGTGTCCTTCCCGGCTCACAGCTGTGGTGGCAGATCTGAATGGAAGGCCTGGATTTGATTCTGTCTGGCCCCCAGTTCAGACAATTACAGGAGCAGTTCTAGCAGAAGACACCCAAACACATGTAGTTTCCAATCTCAGGCGTGTGGGCAGAGACAGCCAGATCCTCACCTTCTGGGTGGTGTGTGGGCCTCAGTGCCCCTCCGCGCCCCAGGGAGCTTTAGGGACCCCACAGGCCAGGGGACAGGCTCCTGCCTGCCCACAGGCCCCCAGTCCATCACCCACGCTGCAGGGACACGGTGGACTCGGGGTTGAGGCCTTGCTCCTGCACGAACCCAGCTAGTCAGTGTTGATGACACCCTGCCTTCCTTCTGTGCCTCCGACAGGGCGACAAGGACTTCCCCCCGGCGGCCGCCCAGGTGGCTCACCAGAAGCCCCACGCCTCCATGGACAAGTACCCGTCCCATCGAACCCAGCACATCCAGCAGCCTCGCAAGTGACCGCGAGGACCCAGCGCCCTCCCCTGCCATGCCTGGTCCCCGACATTTGGTATTTCCCCGGCAAAGAGAACTGCATTTTCTTCCAAACATTTTTCCAGTGGGCGATCTAAGGCAAAGCAACGTGCCCTTCCTTTGCCGTACATTTCCAAATCAAAGCTAGAAACAGACCCCAAACCTTGTTCCCAGGGAGTCCTGTTTGGTGAGGGGCCATTAGCAAAACCTGCCAAGTTCTGAGCAAAATGAAGGTGCTCAGACTTTAGCTTTAGAACTACTTCAGCCATTGACTAAAAGTCCTGCCTATGGTCTTAAAGGGGCACAAATGTGGGAGGGTTGGATTGAGATTAGGAGGAAAGCTCAATCGTTTTATGCTTCTAAGTACTAAGACAATCAAATCTGCACACCTAAGGGAGCATAAGAAATGAAGGTGTTCATTACAGGGGTAGGTTTCAGAAAGACATCAAGGAAAACTTAAAATGGACCACAGCAACCCTGAATGTCACTCCCTATGCGACCAGGAGTCCCTGTGCAGGGTGACCCCAGAAGGACCAAAGAAAAGTTTGCGTCTCTGAGATGGCTCTGTTATTACAGGAGTCATCTTGCTGAAAAATTAGAGGGCAGGTAGTTTGCCCGAAGGTAGTACCTTTGGGAGGAGATCTCAGTGTGGGTCCCAAGTCCAGCACCGCCCACCATCAAGGCAGCCTGCACCCGAGCAATCGAGACAAACTCGTGTTTGTCATCACTCACCTCTAGAGCTGTCTCTGAGTTCTGGAAGTGGCCACTGGCCAGGCAGACGGACAGCCAATTCTGGACACAGCAAGAGCACAGACTGCATGGGGAGAGAAGTGAACACAGAGAGAACAGCCCGAACCTGCCCTTTGTTCCTGAGCAGAGGCTCCCCCCCCACCCCCCACCAGCCACCCCATTTGCCAGCAGTGGCATTTGCTGCAGGCCAGCAATGCGCTGTGAGCAGCGTGCCCGCCACCAGCCTTGCGATGCCATTCAGTCCAGAGCTGCGATGAGCAGGGGTGACTCAGACCTAGGCAGACCCATGCCCTCCCCTGAGGGAAAAGCCCTGCCTGGCTTTCTGAAGGCCGTTGTTTCCTCCCACTGGCTTGCGGAAGCTGGAGTCTAACCTTCAAGGTACCATGTGATCACATCTGGTATTTCTTAGTCTGAGAGGTTGGTATACACCAAGGCTGGCTTTGGAGAGGCATACTCTGTGGGCATCATGGTCGTGGGGCACACAGAGCAAGCAGCTCCCCACCCCCCAGAGTTGGCATCCCAGAAGGGCGCTGAGAGCAGGCAGTGCAGCTCAGGCCCGTGCAGACCCCTGCACCTTCCGCTACAGAAATGTAGGCGCGTTGTTGATACCTGGGTTTGCAGGCAGGAGCGCCGTGCTGTTTCCCAAGGGGCTTGTTTATGTACTTGTAGTTGCGCCTGGCCTGTATCTGTGGCTCGCTGAAAGCGTACTGTTTCCTGAATGAGTACCAATTGTTAACTTGAAGAATAATACTGATTATAATAAAGGCCCTGCATTTCTCCTCATGGCTTGTTTTTTCTTACATTTCAGAGATTTTTCTTATACATTTTACTAGGGTTGCCAGATGGTTTCTATAGAAACACAAACATGCATGCATGATGGGTATTTTCACAAACTGTTTCACAGACACAAAGTCGGACTATTGGACAAGTGGCACCTTGAGTCTAATCATCTACTTTAAAACGTCCTAAAATGGTAAAGCTTAAGGCAGTTGATTAAAACATCCTGCTTGGACCTAGCAGCGGGCCCTGTGCTATGGGCCCTTTGGGAACAGACTTAGGGAGGAACAATTAGCAGGAAGTCTGGGGTGCCTGTGAGCAGCTTTTGACAAGCAAGACATTCGCCTCTCTTCTGTAACCCATACGAGTGGGATGCAAAAATAATCACAACTATCCAACCTTGAGGTCCACAGTCGGATCACAGACTGACACTGGGAGGTGCCCCACTGGTCAGGGGAGGATCTGGGATGTGTCAGGATCTGGAATGCTGACTCCCCTGCACACAACACACGCCCGAAGTGGAACGATACTGCTGCCCGTCCTCGGTCCCGGTCCTTTCACAAGCTAGCTATGGACACACACGTGAGCCCGTGTGTGCGTCAGCATGTCATGGAGAACCAGCTGTAGGGCAGGGCTACGGGAGGGCCTGGATGGGGAGGGGAGACATTGCCAGACCCAGCCAGGTTCTTAATTAATTAATTATTTTGAGAACATCTGCCGCCTGCCCGGGCGGCCTGGGGTGCTCTCTGCTGTTCCGCAGCTTTTTCCAACTTGACAGCTGCTGTGCTGCTTAAGTGCTGCTTCTTACAAACCCAAAGTAAACCTTTTCCCCCCAATTCCTGGCATCCTGCTGGCCTCTGCAGAATCGAAAGGAGACAAAACAAAAACAAGGAAACAGTGCGTTGCGGAGCCCTCCCAGGAGGCGTCGACAGCCATATGCTCCTGGAAAACAGGGTGAGTGGGTGGTGACGCTTAACCAAGAAACTGCTTGGGATTTCTCCTCTAGTTGTGTCAGCCAGGGTTCTCCAGAGAAACCAAGCCAATAGGATGTGGATAGTAGGTAGGTAGATAAATAGATATTTGTTTTAAGGAATTGCCTCAGGTGATAACGGAAACTGGCAAGTCCAGAATCTACAGGGTCAGTCAGCAAGCTGGAGACCCAGAGGAGAGCCGGTGTTGCAGTTCAAGTCCAAAGGCATCCTGGGAGCAGGGCAGGGGAGGTCAGTCCGTTCTACGGAAGGCTATCGACTGACTTGATGAGGTGCACCCACATTAGGGAGGGCACTGCAGCTCACTCCAAGTCCACTGATTTAAATATATACGTCAACCCAAAGCACCCTCACAGAAACCTCCAGAATAATGTCTGACCAAATATCTGGGCGCCGTGGCCCAGCCAAGTTGGCACATGGAATGAACCATCATCACACAAGCTCATGGCTGCTCGTGTTTCTCGAGACCCTCCAAGCATCTGGGGTCTGTTCTCCCTCTGACCAGGTTGAAGCGTCCGCATGCCTCACAACATGCTGTCTAACGTCTAACTTCTTCCAAACAGACGTTCTAAAATTCAATGAGGGGCCCTTATAACGAGAAAATAAAAGTTTTCTCATCTTCCCTTTTAATCCTAAATATTATTAAAAATCCAACTGCCATGCTTTCAAAAGTCAAAATCCAATTTGCCGCCTGGAAAAGACCCCACACAATATGAAATAATGAACTGATGTAATCGGAGGATTGCATTTCAGCATTGTCACCTAAAAGGCAGAGCCCAGCTTTTTGTCGCACAAAGGCTCAGTTTCTGCACAAATTGCCAGAGACCCGCTTGTGCCAGTTAAATAGAGATGGTCTGGGAGCATGGGATGTGCTTAGAGTTCTAATAATGATGTTCATTGTCTCCAGGGCAGTGCTCTCCACCTGGGGGCGGCGTTGCCCTCCGAGGACATGGGCAGGATGTGGAGATGCCTCTGGTTGTCACAGCTGAGGTGGGGAGGGGTGCTAGTGGGTCCCCCCTAGTGAACAGAGGCCCAGGATGCTGCTAAAAATCGCCCGGTCCACAGGACAGCCCACCACAGAGAATTATCCGGAGCCAAATGCCGGCCATGCCGGGGCTCGGAAACCTTCATGACCCTATTCAAGAAGCTCATGTTATACAGCTAAAGGCCAATTCCCCTCCTGCTGGAATCTTGGGGGGAAATCTATGTTTCGGGGGCAAGGATACTGAAATGGAAGTAGCTAAAGCTACGCTGTGTCTGCTTTTCCGTCCCTGGAGCAGAAAATAGCAAATTGCTGTGATGCAGACTCGCTCCTGGATGCAATGGAAGTTTTTAGATAAAGCAGCCTTCTCCTTCGGGAGGCGGGCGACGGATCTGCAGCATCGGCTGTGTCCTCAGTCACCCACACAAAGACCAGCAGAGAGAAATGTCCCTCGGTGGCCTCCCCAGCACACTCACCTAGGCACGCACGACCAACACCAGGTTTCTGCCTCAGCGACATACTAGCATTCTCCAAAGGAGGTCTAGAAGCCTCTTCCCGAACGCTGACAGCCTGTTTCCCGTGCAGGGACCGTGCGTGTCTCCAGCTGGTTAACCTCGGGGCTCTCGGCAGACACAGCGGAGTGACAAGCAAAGGAGGGAAACGGCGTCTCTGCCAAGGGAGCACGCAGCTGAGCACTAGGCTAAGGCCAGGACGTCAGCGCACCTCGCATCGCTGTGTCCCAGCACAGCCCCCTCCCCAGTCCCCTCCCCACCCTCCTCCCCAGCCCCC